ACTATGTCCCAACTGAGAATGGACCGGAAGTGGAAGCAGCTGCATTGGAATTTGAAAAATGTAGCTACGTCACTAATGACGTTTTATAATGATTTCATAGAGACATAGCCGATATTTTGGCTATCTTGTTTCACTCTTAAAATAGTCTTGTTCTTCCTGATAAGCAGTACAATAGCTGCTGGAGTCAACTAGTCTTCATAAAGGCCATCATTATCAGAAGATCTCGCTCTATTAGCTTTTAAAAAGAAGAATTATCAGTTTGGGCGCTCAACCACATGTGCTTATGTAAACTATGACATCATAGAACGTCATTGCGGTTAGCTTTGGTATGCCATTGGGTTTATAGGGAGAACCTGATTCTCAGGGTTCCCAAGGGCTGAGAGACCCAAGACCTGAGATCCTGAAGCGGCATTGGGCGAATAAGAACCTGTGAAAGTCTCATTCTTATCCTACACTCCTATAAAAAGTTATTCCAGTTTTTCTTGGTCCAAACTCAGTTGGGACATAGTATAATACTATTGCGTTTTTAGTTTTTTTAAATGGCTGTAACTCAAAAAGTTGAAGTCAGAATCAGCTCAAACTTTCTACACAGCATAAGTACATCAATATGTATCAGAAAATGTAATAAAAATTGGGGGTGATTTCGGAGCCATTTTTTTGAAAAAACCATGGGCTATAGCCTTGGGTATTTTTCAGATTTTGGCTCATTTTTTTAAAATGGTCGTAACTCGAAAAATTGAAGTCGGAATCACTTCAAACTTTCTACATTGCATAAGTACATCAATATGTGTCAGAAAATGTAATAAAAATTGGGGGCGATTTCAGAGCCATTTTTTTGAAAAAACCATGGGCTATAGCCTTGGGTATTTTTCAGATTTTGGCTCATTTTTTTAAAATGGTCGTAACTCGAAAAATTGAAGTCGGAATCACTTCAAACTTTCTACATTGCATAAGTACATCAATATGTGTCAGAAAATGTAATAAAAATTGGGGGCGATTTCAGAGCCATTTTTTTGAAAAAACCATGGGCTTATAGCCTTGGGTATTTTTCAGATTTTGGCTCATTTTTAAAATGGCTGTAACTCAAAAAGTTGAAGTCAGAATCAGCTCAAACTTTCTACGTAGTATAAGTACATCAATATGTATCAGAAAATGTAATAAAAATTGGGGGTGATTTCGGAGCCATTTTTTTTGAAAAAACCATGGGCTATAGCCTTGGGTATTTTTCAGATTTTGGCTCATTTTTTTAAAATGGTCGTAACTCGAAAAATTGAAGTCGGAATCACTTCAAACTTTCTACATTGCATGAGTACATCAATATGTGTCAGAAAATGTAATAAAAATTGGGGGCGATTTCAGAGCCATTTTTTTGAAAAAACCATGGGCTATAGCCTTGGGTATTTTTCAGATTTTGGCTCATTTTTAAAATGGCTGTAACTTGAAAAGTTGAAGTTGGAATCAACTCAAACTTTCTACACAGCATAAGTACATCAATATGTATCAGAAAATGTAATAAAAATTGGGGGTGATTTCGGAGCCATTTTTTAGAAAAAACCATGGGCTATAATAGCCTTGGGTATTTTTTACAAATTGATTTGTTTTAAAAATGGCCATAACTTAGAGAATATAGTCAGAATCAACTGCATGTATGTACTTGTATAACACGTGGTTTAAATCAATATTTAATTATAATAAGGAAGAGGGTTTTTTAAACCCATCCAAAAATTGTTTTCCCAAATGTCTTAAAGAATACGTGTCTTGATCTCTTCCCCACTACACTTTTATATACAGTTTTTTGTAAAAGGTCTAGTGGGTTCACCAACTATCATTCATGTCCTTATGTCAACTGTTTATTATAGCCCATATAAGGGCATCAATATATATGCATCAGATAAATAAAGGCTGATTTTAAATTCTTCTTTCTTAAATGCATTAATTTATATGGATCTATCTATTCCTCATTAGCTTGGTAGAGAAGTCTTAGACATAGCAGCAAAAGCGATCAGACCAGGTGTAACGACTGATGAAATTGATAGGATTGTCCATGAAGTAAGTATATACTTGTACATGTACTTCCTATATGTGCTTGTAAAGCACATATACATGTGCTTTTATGTGTACATAAATGTACATGTATCTCTCTGTCTTATTGTAGGCTTGTATTGAAAGAAATTGCTATCCTTCTCCATTGAATTATTGCAATTTTCCTAAATCATGTTGCACGTATGTTTATCATGTAGAATATTATCAAGTATTTTATTTTATTTTATTTTTATAATTATTAGTTCAGTGAACGAGGTCATTTGTCACGGTATTCCGGACAAACGAGAACTCGAAAATGGTGACATATGCAATGGTAAGCCTTTAACATGCACTTTAATTAGAATAACTCTTTATTCCCTAGTCGACATCACTGTGTATTACGGCGGGTTTCACGGAGACCTCAACGAGACCATGTTCGTCGGAAAACCGAGCGAGAGAGCACAAAAGATTGTTACGGCAGCATACGAGTGTATGATGAAGGGAATCGGCATTGGTAGGAGAACCTCCCTCCCTCTCTATCTTTTCTAGAACTACCGTATAACTGGAAATTTTGGAGGGTATTAAATTTGGCGAATTTGGCGTTTTAATAGCCATTCGCCAAAATAAAATCCGCCATTTTGAGCCATTATACGCATGCTCAATGGCATGTGGCCACTAATTCGCCAAATTAAAACCAGCGAATCACCGAAATTTCGCAATTTGCCAAATTTAACTCCCTCCAAAATTTTCCTCTATATGGTATATACATGTATATTTATGTACGTATACACGTCTTCATTTTCCTTTTCTCTTATAGTTCGTCCTGGTACTAAGTATCGTGATGTTGGTGCCGAGATTCAGAGCCACGCCCATTCTAAAGGTTTCAGTGTCGTACGGAGCTACTGTGGCCATGGGATTAATCAGTGAGTCATTGGGTGGGCGGGGCTTGATAATTATTAATTGATTTTTAGACTGTTTCATACTGTTCCGAATGTACCACATTATGCAAGTTAGTTAATTAATTATTAATAATAGTTAATTAATTGTTGATTTAATATTATTAGAAAATAAGGCGGTAGGTGTAATGAAGGCTGGTCATACTTTCACAATAGAACCAATGATATCTGAAGGTATGAGTACATGTACAATCAAGAGTACAATCACTACAATAATTATTAATAATAATTATATCTCTTTCTTTTATTTCTCCTTTATTTCTTCTACTCTTCCCTTTCATGCATTTCATACATTGTATATGTACATGTACATATACAATCATTATGATCTTTCTTTTAATCTCTTCTCTGTTCTCTCTCCCTCCTCATAATCTTTCATTTATTTTTCACCTGCATAATCTTTCTTTTACAAATATGTAACCTTCTTTCTCTTTCATTAATTTTTTCCTTCTCTTTCCTATTACTTTTCTTTATTCTTTTTCCTCTCATCTTTTCACTGATCCACCTTTCTCCCTTCTTCTCTCCCCCTCTCTCCCTCCCCAGGAGTGTGGCATGATGTCACTTGGCCTGATAACTGGACTGCTGTCACATCAGTAAGTTCAATACACACTAGCAGTGACATTATGTTGTCATGTTAATGATAGGACGGGAAACTCTCTGCCCAGTTTGAGCACACCCTCCTAGTAACCGAGAGTGGTTTTGAGATACTGACACTGAGGGAGGAAGGAGGAGGTAGACCTCATTACATGGACCAACTGAGGGCACTGGTTTAAGGAGAGGGAGAGGGAGAGTCAATTTAATGTCAAATATTTTATAAAAGTCTTCAATTATTCAAATAAAGCTAGTATAAAAATTAATGAAAATAAATTTTAGCAAGCATGTACATGTATTTAGGGAAGCAAGGTAGAATAAGTTGGTTATACTTCTTGATGTATAACCTATACGTGTACATAAACGTACACAAAAGGTAAAAGCAAAGGAAATGACGCATATAAAAAATTCAAGCAATTAAATATTTATATCTTCATCCTTTTCAATGCCTCTATTACTTGAGCCATAGTAGGACGAGCTCTAGGATTAGCATTAAGTCCTCTTTGTATGAGAGACTTCATATCAGACCAGGAGACACTACCAGATTGTACTTCTCTCTCTGCTATCGTCATTTCTGGTCGAGAGCACAAAATCATTTCCATAAGGAGAACAGAGTAACTGTAGACATCCATTGCTGGACTGTGTCGATCAGGAATAGGAGCTTCTGGTGCAGCATATGCAATATTGCCTTGCATAAATTCATCAGCTTGTACTACTTTAGCTGTACCATAATCTGTTACTTTAGCTTCATAACCACCAGGTCCAGTGCAAGGCTTTAATAATACGTTATGACTGCTCACATCTCTGTGAATAATAGGGTGAGGCTTAAACAGGTGAAGGTAGTTGAGGCCTAAAGCTACATCTTGAGCAATACTCAGAATCTGTTGATTGGTTAATCGGTTTCTGCGAAGCTCCCGATTAAGACTAGTGCTCATCAGCTCGGTCAAGATGAGAGGATTACCCACTTTAGTTGCACTAATAAACTGGACCAGGTTAGGATGATGTACTCTTGATGCTATACTCATTTCCTGCGAGAAGAGATGTAGATTATAATCTGAGATGACAATAGCATGAAGTGACTTGACAGCTACTCTTAAACCTCTAAAGATACCAACTGTAGTGACAGTATAACTTCCTCTTCCTAACTCCTCCTTTGTCAAAGTCACCTCATCTTTATTAATAACCCAGTCAGCCTCTTGAGTCTGACATAGCTCTCTATCTTTCTCCTGTAGCTTTCTATCCTTCTCCTGTAGTTCTTTATTCTTCTCTTGTAGCATTTTATTCATCATTTCTAACTGAAGACGATGTTCTTGCATTTCTTGCTCTTTTTCAATCTGTTGTTGCTTGCACATATGTTCTGCTTCATGAGACTGACGCTCTGCTTTCTGCCTCTTTTCTTTTTCTGCTTTCAGTTCTTGAATCAGTGTCATATTCTGCTGTTCCTTTTCTTGCAGAAGATTTCTTATATCCCGTGTATCACCTAAATATAATAATGGCGTTGAAAGAAATCCTACACCACTGGGACTAGATCAAAACCAAATTCATTATAAATAAGTTAAAATAACCAACATGTATTTAGCTATTTCTTTTGTGTAGTGGTGTAGGACTTTGCTTTACAATTACTTGCTTCATTGGGGCGAACCTGATTGGGGCGAGCCTGAGCTCGCCCCACTCTAGCTATACTCTAGTCTCGCCAGCCAGACCAATCCCATTTGGTCTGGCTGGCGAGACTAGTTATACTCTCAGTCACGTCACGTCTGTCCCTCTGCATCTGTCTGTCTGTATGTCCTCGTACATCACCCCTATTTATGCGTAGATCTAATACTGTAGACAGATACTATGCATTACCAATGCAATATAAAGTCAATTGTCAATTTTTCATTGAAAGTGGGAGCGGTCACAGTAAAATAAAAATGGCAACCAACACACTGGAAGAATTCATGAGCTTTCTAGCAGCAATATAAGGCAGATATACCGTCCAAAGACTTCTCCAGCAGCTATAGAAGGTTTTAAATTCAATTAATAACCTTGAGGCTCGTCTTTATTGATGCAATTGCTATTAAAACTGTGAAAGTCAATCAAGCTTTTTCTCAGTCATCTTAACATTGGATAATATTATATCTAAAGCTAAGTGAAGCATCTTTACAGACATTTATAGGCAAGAAATGTGTATGTGAAACTAGAAGACTAAAAGTTAAATAAAATAAATGATTATAAAGTGATTTTATCAGCAGCATTAAACTTTCATCATGTAAATCATGCTTGCTATGCCTAAATCATGATGCATGCTTTGAAATCATCAGGAGTAGATTATAGATGGATAGATCCAGTGCCATATAATTGCTTTGCTAGCTTAGGCTCGCCCCTTAATGTTCTACATTCATCTAGTTTACCTTTCAAACTAGTTGTTCTTTCAAGTGGCATAGCTGGTAGAGGATGTTCACGAGCTATTTCATCAGCTAATGCTGGATCACCTCCTTCTTTAACAGCTACACACAACATTCTCCAGCAAGGGATACCATTAGTCCTGTAAGCATAGTCTTTCTTTAACCAATGCTCTAGAACTTTTTGTAGGCATGAAATAGCATTTCCATGAGAACTGGCTTCAATGCTATTTATAGTGTCTATTTCTAGACGCAAAGAAATAGCAATGCCTCTCCAGTGAGCAGAGAGTGGCTTAACACAATCATAGACAGGATGAAAATCCTTAATATCTATTAAAAATGAATGAAACAGGGTTATGCACAGAAAAAATTTTACTTAGTTCTTCCTCAGAAACATTTATAAAAGCCTGAGCCTGTTGATGTCTATAAGCTGACATTTGCTTTGGGGAGTGGCCGCTTAACCATCCACATCATCATTTGAACAGCTTTAAATTAAATTTTTTTTTTTTGTTCTTTTGTTAACTTAATGTTTGTATTTTTTTTGTCTTGTGTCTTAGTCTTTCTGCTCTTTTTACCTGTTTGTTGGTCACTGGCAGAACTTGCCAGTGCTCCTTCAGTGCACAATCTGTCTAACTCTTATATTTCTAACTGTCATTCTTGTCTGTTAATGCACTGTAAAGATTTATAATAATAATAATAATAAAATAATAATAATAACTGAACTAGGGCTAGGCATGGTAATAATGGTAGGTATGCACAACAAAAATTAATTTTATTTAGTTTGGATTGTATGTAATTGTCCAGTTCCTTCACAAACAATTGAGAATCAATGGTGCTCCCCAACTTATAATGAGGATTCTTAATGACATACTCAACGTATATCTTAGTATAAATGTGCTGCAGAGTCTCCTGCAGGTCCCCTGCCTTGTGATCAGTGTTAAGAATAAACTTAGTACCCGCCAGGGTTTCGTAAATATCACTTACAACACTAGTATTGACATATGGGTAATGATAGGACGGAAAACTCTCAGCCCAGTTTGAGCACACTCTCCTAGTAACTGAGAGTGGTTTTGAGATACTGACACTGAGGGAGGAAGGAGGAGGCAGACCTCATTACATGGACCAACTGAGGGCATTGGTTTGAAGAGAGATTGAGGGAGAGCCAATTTAATGTCAAATATTTTATAAAAGTCTTCAATTATTTCAAATAAAGCTAGTACAAAGTAATGATAGGAACATTTTAAAGAAAAGAAGCAAAGAACAATATAAAATCACACCACTAAAATAAGAAAATCCAATCTGAAACATTAATACTGACTGTAAGTCAGAAGAAAAACTAATTTTAAAGATAAAGTCACACAATTTAAAAAGCAGCAATAGAATAACAAACTACAACAATAATCAGATCTTCATCCCTTTCAATGCCTCTATTACTTGAGCCATAGTAGGACGAGCTCTAGGATCAGCAGTAAGTCCTCTTTGTATGAGAGACTTCATATCAGACCAAGAGACACTACCAGATTCTCGTGCTCTCTCTGCAATCGTATATGCTGGTGAAGAGTGTAAATTCATTTCCATAAGGAGAACAGAGTAACTGTAGACATCCATTGCTGGGCTGTGTTGTTCAGGATCACGAGCTTCTGGTGCAGCATATGCTGGATTGCCTGGCATAACAGTACCAGTACTAGTGCTTTGTTGCAATTTAGCTGTACCATAGTCTGTTATTTTAGCTTCATAACCACCAGGTCCAGTGCAAGGCTTCAATAATATGTTAGCACTGCTGACATCTCTGTGAATAATAGGCTGAGGTTGAAACAGGTGAAGGTAGTTGAGGCCCAAAGCTACATCTTGAGCAATACTGAGAATCTGTTGTTTTGTTAACTCTTTCTCCTGAAGCATTTTATAAAGACTAGTGCTCATCAGCTCGGTCAAGATGAGAGGGTTACCCACTATAGTTGCACCAATAAACTGGACCAGGTTAGGATGACGTACTCGTGATGCTATGCTCATTTCCCTGGAAAAGTGACGTCGATTATAACTTGAAATAATAAGATAGTGAAGTGACTTGACGGCTACTCTTATACCTCTAAAGATACCAACTTTAACAATAGCATAAGATCCTCTTCCTAACTCTTCATCTGTTGTCAAAGTCACCTCATCTTCATTAATAACCCAGTGTTCATCCTCTTGCTGCTGCATACTAAATAGCTCTTGTGACTGAAGTAGCTCTTTGTCCATGTCTTCTATCTTTGTCTTCATAATTTTGAACTGAGATTCATAATCTCTTAGCTTTTGCTCTTTTGCTACATTTTCTTCATCTTTTTGTTGCATTTGACGAGAATATTTTTGTATTTGATGATCATATTCTTGCTTCTCTTGCTCTCTCTGGGCTTCTTTTTCTTGTAATTGGTGACTATAATGTCGTATTTCTTGGTCCTTTTCGGCTATTTCTCTGTATTTCTCATTCAATTGGTCACGATATCGTTGCACTTCTTGCTCCTTCTCTGCTTCTTCTATCTCCTTTCTTCGCAATAAACGATGATATTTTTCTTTTTCCGCTGCCAGTTCCTGCTTTGAACATTCAAGTTGCTGAATTAGCGTCAAATTTTGTAGATTTTGCAAATTTCTCATATCTCCTGCATCACCTATTTGCATCAAATTATGAGTGATACTATCATAGTTATAGTAATGTATGCATTCAAGGAATGATTGTAGTACTCTATATGGTATGTACAGCTAATGAGATGAGTGAGTTGATTAAGCAAGCATGGCATGACTTTATCTTACTTTGATAATAGTATGATAAAGTTTTGTCATAATATTTCATTTGATTGTAGACATGCATGAGAAGCATTGGAAAACGGTGAGTGACTGACGATACTGATACAATACCAGCTGAATGTTTCTGAAAAAGGAAAAGATACATGCTGCCATCTCTTTTAGTATAAGTATACCTTGGCTTTAATAGCTCTGAGAAGGTCTTTAACTAATGTTGGATCATAATTTCCTGGAATATCTATTATAATTATTATGAATCCATTAAAGCTTAATTCTAATAATATATAAAAACCTGTTGCATCAATCTGGTTCATCCAGTTTGTTCCAATAACATCAGCTGCACCATGTTCAATCATATGGTCTTTAGTGCTAGGCATGAATTCAAGAATGTCACTTGCAGCCTCTAAAAAATCCAATTGTCTCTCATTGGACCAAAAATAACAGTGATTCAGCACTTCTTCCACGGATATTCTGTATAAAAAACAACTACATGTATCTTGTTTATTTTTTACTTTTTACCTCAAATCTTTATCTTTATGAATCATTTGCTTTATAAGGTGCTTAGCTGTCTCCCTATCTTTCACTTCATCACTTATATCATCAAGTGTATATGAGTGCGTACCAAAGTTCTGAATTATAGCAACAATGTCATTTCCAAAAGGATGATGACCATCAGAAAGAACATAGTACATAACACATCCCATTGAAAATATATCGACAGCTTTACTAAATTTCTTTACTGTCTTGTTTACCAACTCAGGAGCTAGCCACATCAATGTTCCTTTCAGGCCAATAGTTGTTTGAGAGTATCGATCAGGTTCCAACTCAGTAGCTATGCCAAAATCTGAAATAACGGCTTTAATTTGCATTGAACCTGAATTTCTTTGGACTATAAGAATATTGCTCGGTTTTACATCTCTATGGACTAAAATATTAAGTCTGATATACAACAACAATAGTTATGATATATCATACCAATATTATGTTCATTATGCAAATGGTTCAATCCTCTTATTGCACCATGAAGAATTTCCTTTTTGCTGACAACAAAATCCCTCAAAATGGCTTCTCTTTTTTCCTCATTTTTAATAAACTACATTGATACAAAAACACTTTTAAATCATTTCAAAAATTAAAAAATGCACTGACATTTTCTAAGCTAGTCAGACAGAGTTGAAAAGCAAGATAATAATATTCCACATCACTTTCCTAAGAGGACATAAAACTATGAATTTCCCAATTAATATATTTACAGAATGGTAGTATTCCACTATATTTTCATGCTTCCTGAATTGCATCAACATTTTTATCTCTGTACCAGTTATTACATCTTTTTTACCAACTTTGACAGCAACATCATGTTCACTAAACTGACCCCTGTAATGAAAAATATAGTTCAGAATTGCCATTCAACAGAGGAACAATAATAACTTACTTATAAACAGTAGTTCCTTTAGATCCATCTCCTAGTTTCTCAGTACAAATATAGCTAATGTCTCCTAGAGTAAAATAAAACATAAAAATTTATCAACTATCTACATGCATAAATTTCTATTTATTTTTGATTTTTGAATATAATTATTTCACCTGAAAAATAGCCCAATATACAGTAATTATATGAACTACCATATCTATGCAAGCAATGATTATAGTAACACTGCAGTATCTATGATAAGCATAATGTGCCCAAGTCACTCTATATGCATGCATTTGAATAAATCACTAAATCAGTGTAATAATAAGTAACAACCTATTATTTTGATTGCATGTCTATCAGGTTGTCGTTCTGCAGCATCATCCTTTGCTTTCTGTATACACAAAAAATTGATTAAAAATAAATCTGCTTTGTATACATACAACACTACATATTAGCACATCATTTACTTCTGAAGTTAAATTGTGTAGATGTAAAGAGCCAATAGACTCGATTACATGGTCTACTTTTGTTTCAATTCTTTGCTGACTTTCAAATGTATCAGAAAATCCTACAAGAATAGGAAGATTAGTTATCACATATACCTTCTTTCTAACATTCTTCCTAGGTACCTAGCATACCTTCTTCACATAGATTCCTTAAATCACCATCATCTAATTTTTCGTGTTGCCTGCTTGACCACCTATAAATGTTTTAGTCTCGCATAGCCAGACTCTCCAGATGTCAAAAAGGGGGATGGATCTGGCTACGCGAGACTATAAATGTTTGTGATGTGTTGTTACCTTTATGCCCAAGATACCGTATAGGGGGTAATTTTGGAGGGGCTAAAATTTGGCGAATTGCTAAATTTTGGTGATTGGCAGGTTTTTAATTTGGCAAATTTGTGGCCACATGCCATTGAGCATGTGTATAATGGGCTCAAAATGGTGGATTTTTATTTTGGCAAATGGCTATCAAAACACCGAATTCGCCAAATTTAATCCCCTCCAAAATTACCCGCTATACGGTATACTATATACAAGCAACATTTGTGGTTTTGATTTCGTATCAAAAATATGTTTGGATCAAAGTAACCACAGATCACAGATCGGTTGCTTTAAGGGTCAGCTAGTTGCTAGCAATATCGAAATTTTTTCTGGTGAAATGTTTCTTGATCACATGTTACAATATGTAACTAGAACTGAGCTAACACCGTTTGGTTTATAGACCCCCTTAGGCGATAAGACTATTTTCAATGAATATGATTACAATAATGATATTCATTCATAATAAATAAAAATTTCCTATACGGTATCCACCCACGATGTAAATTACTGACGGCAAGAAGGCCTCGAGATCAAAAGAAAATCAAAGGCGGTGACACCGCCTGGACATTTTTCTGAGCGCTACAAGGTACTACAGGCTTACAAGGAGCATTTATGGAAAGTATGGAGGCCAAACTACATCATATAGACCAGGTAACTCTTGCTGCAGCATAGTTTTCATGCTATGCTTCATCTCGGCACCTTGGGCTTTGATCTGCCTTTGATGTGGAGAGCTTCTTGCAGTCAGTAATTTTATTCGTGGGTGGCTCCGTAAATAATTCATTCAAAACAGTCTTAGCGCCTAAGGGGGGTCTATATAATACATGCCTACAGGCTATGTGTTCAGGCATCTTTCTGTGAGTGTGCCAGCACCCTATTAGCTCTAGCCCACTACCCACAATAATTAAATCTTACCTTCTTGCTCTAACCCCTGACATTCTGAGAAAACGCAGCCAGAGCTAATAAGGCCTTTAATCATGGACGTATGCTTTTAATTGATGAAAAAAGACTGGGCGAGGTCAAATAATTAATAGGAAAATGCATCATGTGCATGCAATGCAATGAATAATTAATTTCATAGTTGTGAGTGTGATTTGTGAAGCAACAAAATAGATTTAGAATTATTATAAGTATAGTAAAAGTATTGATTTACTATAAAAAGGTTTGGATTGTATGTGATTCCAGTTCCTTCACAAACAGTTGAGAATCAATGGTGCTACTTATAATGAGGATTCTTAATCACGTACTCAACGTATATCTTAGTATAAATGTGCTGCAGAGTCTCCTGCTGGTCCCCCGCCTTGTGATCAGTGTTAAGAATAAACTTAGTACCAGTCTGGGTTTTGTAAATATCACTTACAACACTATAGTAGTGACATATGTTAATGTTATGGTAATGATAGGACGGGAAACTCTCTGCCCAGTTTGAGCACACTCTCCTAGTAATTGAGAGTGGTTTTGAGATACTGACACTGAGGGAGGAAGGAGGAGGCAGACCTCATTACATGGACCAACTGAGGGCATTGATTTAAGGAGAGGGAGAGTCGTCAATTTAATGTCAAATATTTTATAAAAGTCTTCAATTATTTCAAATAAAGCTAGTATAAAATAAGTTTTTGTAAACATGTTTAAAGAAGCAAAGTATATGTGTATAAAGAAGAAAGTCACACAAAAGTAAGTAAAATGGGGAAGTTAATTGGGCTGGAAATAATAGTGACTCAAGACTGCTTCCATAGATATTCTGTATAAGACTATAGAATTATTTTCATATTTTTTATGTCTTACCTCAAATCTTTATTCTCATGAATCATTTGCACTATAAGGTCCTTGGCTGGCTCCCTATCTTCCACTTTACCACTTATACCATCAAGTCTATATGAGTGCGTACCAAAGTTCTGGACTATAGTAATTATGTCCTCTCCAAAAGGATGCCGACCATCAGAAAGAACATAGTACATAACACAGCCCATTGAAAATACATCAACAGCTTTACTATATTTCTAATGAGAAATTAAGAAAATAGTCACATCTTATGTTACTTACCAGCCTTGGATCTCTACGTTTATTGAGTAACTCAGGAGCTACCCATAGCAATGTGCCTTTTAGGCCAGTAGTTGTTTTTGAAATTCGCCCAGGGTCTAATTCTGCAGCTATGCCAAAATCTGAAATAACAGCTTTAATTTTCATTGAACTTGAATTTCTTCGGACTAGAAGAATGTTGCTTGGTTTAACGTCTCTATGAACTACATAAAGTCAGTTATTAGACATAATAATAGTTATAATAATCATACCAATATTTTCTTTATGTAAATAACTCAGTCCTTTTATAGAATCAAAAAGAATTTCCTTTTTATTGACATAGAAATCCCTTATTAAGTCTTTTCTTTTGTCCTCATTTTCAATAAACTAAATCAATAAATATTTGATTTCATAAATTAAGTTTATGAACTGACATTTTCTAAGCTAATATCACAAAGTTGAAAAGCAAGATAATTGTATTCTATATCACTGTCCTAAGAGAAGATACAATAATGAATGAATTGTCTGATTAGTATACCGTATAGCGGGAAATTTTGGAGGGACTAAAATTTGGCGAATTGCTAAATTTTGGTGATTGGCGGATTTTAATTTGGTGAATTAGTGGCCACATACTATTGAGCATGCGTATAATGGCTCAAAATGATGGGTTTTATTTTGGCGAATGACTATCAAAACGCTAAATTCGCCAAATTTAATTCCCTCCAAATTTCCCGCTATACGGTAATTATCACTTACAAAATGATAGTATTCCACTATGTTTTCATGCCTACAACGTTCCAATATTTTTTTTTCCAAATCCCTTATTGCAGTCTTTTTTCCAACTTTGACAGCAACATCTTTTCCACTAAATTGACCCCTGTATAACACTGAGTTAAAATCATTACGATAAAATGAATAGTTGCATGACAAACAAAGCTGGAAAATCAACAAATCTTACTTATATACAGTAGTTCCTGAGGCACCATCTCCTAGTTTTTCATTACGAAAATAGGTAATAGCACCTAATATAATAATAACTATAATAAACATGTATTCAAGCAATTATGATAAGAAAGAAGCACAGATTCATTAGGCACAGCATGCATGTGCACTGCACTGGGCAGTCAGTTTACATAAGTACAAAGCCACAGTGCTAGTAAGGCAATGGCACAAATGATGTCATACCTATTTTGACTTCATTGGCTGCACCTGGATTGAAATGATGTTCAGTGCTCTTAAGATCTAGAATTAATTTTTTTTAATATTATTATTGAACATATATACACGTAGTTACAGTATAGCAGGAAATTTTGGAGGGAGTTGAATTTGGCGTTTAGATAGCCATTTGCCAAAATAAAACCCACCATTTTGAGCCATTATACGCATGCTCAATGGCACATGGCCACAAATTTGCCTAATTAAAACCCGCCAATCACCCAAATTTAGCAATTCGCCAAATTTTAGTCCCTCCAAAATTTCCCGCTATATGTGCTTGAATTTTTTAAACCAAAACTGAAGGAAATTTTGTTTTGTGCATTAAAATGGGTAATATAACAGAAGTTTATCTTAGCAATGCCTATATCATGCAAAGTGGCATAGCTACTGTTAAAGGATGCTTGTAAGCCATTTCATGAAATTGCTAATTTTAGCTAATACTGGGGTTTAATGTAATCATAAAAATTTAAATCCTGGTCAATATTGTAGATCTACTATGACCACTGGTATTGAATTCTTAATAAAAGTTCAATACAACTATAATGTATATTCACATTAAATGTCAAAAAGGGGAGGTGTCTGACTAGTGAGACTACATACGTCATACTGACAAGCTCACCTTCACTGGTATGCAATGTTGGAGATAAGGCTCCTCCTGGTCTATAGCTATCTGAGCTTTCACTTCCTGGCATAGGAGCAGCTGATATAATGCATTAAGTTAAGTTTTTACCTACCTTGCATTTCTCCATCAATACCATCAGCTACAGCATTCTCTCCTATTTCTCTAAGAGCAGCTATCAGTGTATCTATTGTTGGAGTCTCCACACCATCAGCTTTACGCAACCAGCTAGCCAAACACTCGATAAAACAATCATCTATTTTTCCATGGTCTTTCTTTATCTTCTCTAGTGTATTATAAAACAATTTAAGACGAAGACCAAGTCTATCATATAATGTCTTGTTGAAGTGATACCTCTCAAGTAATCGAATCAATTCATTGAGATCGTTAATGTCTGCAGCAATATATCATAAATGATCGTTATAGTTCTATGCTTACTCAAAATCCTTCCACCATCAAAGACTGCTAATTGAGCCATTTTAAAGGTTCAAACTTCAAAATACAAATCAGAAATCACGTGATAACTGTTAAAAAATTATAAAAGCATAGATAATTAGAGTTTTAACAGTTGACTTTTAACCACACCCTAAGTCCCTAAAACATTCATTTTGTATTAGTATAAAAAGGTTTGGATTGTATGTAATTGTCCAGTTCCTTCACAAACAGTTGAGAATCAATGGTGCTCCCCAACTTATAATGAGGATTCTTAATCACGTACTCAACGTATAGACCAGTTGGTGCTAAGTATATTCATAGAATTTTAAGTATATTCATTGTGATGCCGTAAATAAAGTAAAATTTTCTTTCCGCCATTTTGGAGTCCTACTTCCAATGGATGTCTATGGAGCGATCGTGAAAAGAGCTTATTCTCCAAAAACTGCTGTATTTATTCGATACAGCAATATTGCTACTGCTTACTGACCATCATCCAGTGCCTAGAGTTGGCTCATGGACTTTAATACGTGCCACTAGAAGATATAGAAGCAAAGATATTACTTTCTCCCATTCTACTCTTAGTAACTAAGACTCCAAAATGGCGGTAGGAAAATTTTACTTTATTTACGGTATCACAATGAATATACTCAAAATTCTATGAATATACTTAACACCAACTAGTCTATATCTTGGTATAAATGTGCTGCAGCGTCTCCTGCTGGTCCCCCGCCTTGTGATCAGTGTTAAGAATAAACTTAGTACCCGTCGGGGTCTCGTAAATATGGAGCTTGTACTTATCAGTGGAATAACCAATGAAACCATCTCTTGTACTGACGGGGGAAAGGCGAGAGAGGAGGGATTTTAAGGAATAGACCATGCCGTAGAGTAGCTTCCTTTCTTCTTCTGGTGATATCCCGCACTCCTTCACTTTAGCCCACTGCCTGTAGAAGAGACAGGAGCAGTTTCTATCAAAAATGTACAAGTTATAGACGACCATTTTTAATGGGTGTGGGTAAAGTGACCACGCCTATTTTAATATTTAACCCTATTGATTCTCTTTTTGATTGATTCTTTCTCTTCCCACGAGGTTTACTTTCAAGGTAAGAATCTTTCTCCATCTTTCCTTTTGCAAGCTTTAAGATAATATAGAACCATTACTATCTTTATATTTTAGATGACTAATAGGCTGACGTACC